AGAATTACAGTGGTCAAAATGTCGGTTTTACCTAAGATACTGTACCTCTGCAGAGTCCTCCCTATTCCTGTACCGGCCCATTACCTCCGCACTTTGCAATGACGCACACATCTGGGGCTCAATTTGCCCTCGTATATCCTGGGTTACCGTCCATACGTCCAAGTTGAGGGGTGGTCTGGGCCTTCCGGACTTCACTAAATATTACCAAGCAGCCCATCTCGCACAACTCCCAAAGTTCATGCATCTCATGAATCCCACAATGGAATCAGTTGACAGTGACCCCCTATTACTAGCCAACCTACTTTGGCTTCGACCCTCCGATCGCTGTACAATCCGGAACCCAATCATCTCCCATTTTATCGCCCTTTGGGACAGATTCCAACCCCGGTACCCCTTTCAATCACCTCACAATCCCCTTCTCTCCTACCTCCGCTACCCGCCTTCCCCCCAGCTTAGTCTTCCCCGTGTTCTTTCATACTATGGTCCTCAGCTAACCATCTAAGAGCCCATCGATTTCTAACTAACACAGGCATCAAGTCCTTCCCATCCACCCGAGAATCTCACTCCCTACCTGCATCTGAAATCTTTTGTTATCTCCAGCTAAAAACACTTCTACTCCTCCCTATCTGCCACCTCATGCTCCGTCAGATCCATGACCCTTTTTGAAAGCGCATGCAGGAATGATCCGCACAGGCGGGGCCTCATCTCCGCTTTTTACACTCTACTCACTTCCACAGAGTCTTCCCCTGGCCCCTGTGGGAAAGAGACCTAGGCTGCAAGTTGAGCCCAGAAGCCTGGGACCGCATTTGGCTAGCAACTAAATCTTCCTCGCAGAATGTGGTGACGGTTGAGACTAACTACAAGGTCTTGTCTCGACGGTACTTAGTCCCAGCAAGGTTCACCAAGTATACCCCAGGTTACTCCCGACTGCTTTCGGGGCTGCGCGATGGTCGGGAACATACCTCCACATTTGGTGGTCCTGCCCAGTTGCTCATACATTCTGGGTTGGAATCCTCCACATGCTGTCTACTCTTTTTCAAACACCGCTGTCGCCTACCCCAGACACTGCCGTACTCAATCTACTCCCTCCCTCGATTTCTAAGCTCCAATTTAAGCTATTCTTGCAGGTCACAACTGCTGCTAACCAAATAATAGGCGAATCTTCGAAAACCCCATCTCTATGCATATTGGCAGTATGGAATAAGGTGACACAGGCGATGATATACGCTAAAAGGTGGAAGCTTCCATCACAGACACAATCCCTAAATTTTTGCCACTTTGGTCTCCTTGGGTCGGTCACTTCCTCCCTCAAGGTTTAGATGAATCGTTGCTCCTCCCCTAGATAATTCTTTTGTATGAGGGTAATCTGGAGCCTTCTTCTGGTCTTAAACGCCCCTCTCCGTCCAGGAAGTCACACTCTCTGTCCACACTTGTTGTCCGTATTCCTCTCCCCCCCCCTTCTCTTCTCCCTCCTCCAATATGGTTCCCCCTATGCATATGATAACCGTATTGCTATAATAGGCCGTCAGGCCCCATGCCTTCCGTTGACATTTTTCTGTATATGTTTTGTGCACATTGTCATATGCTCTATACCAGGCATGTCCAAAGTCCGGCCCGCGGGCCATTTACGGCCCGGGGGTCGGTTTAATACGGCCCTCCAACAGCCCTCCCTGCTCTGTGTAATGTGGCCCTCCCACGGCCCTCCCTTCTATGGCAGACAGTCTTCTGCTTGAGAGCAGTGCGCATGCCTGACTGCAGCGCGTTCTCCCTGGTCTGTGTAAATGCGGCTGTCGCACGGCCCTCCCTTCTGTGGCAGACAGTCTTCTGCTTGAGAGCAGTGCGCATGCGTGACTGCGCCGTGCTGGGAGTGACAGAGGGTGGTGACGTCAGGGCCGGGCTTCCAGCGTGAAGTGTGTTTCTCTTCCCCTCCCGGCTGCCGAGCAGAGACTTCAGCTCCAGCTACCTTTTTCACCCTTCACATTAGTGCAGGTAAGTTTTTTTAAAATTTATTTTCAATACATTGTGAAAACTCAGCTGTCAGTTGATCTTAATGTTATGAAATGAAAAGTATGTCGATTGCAATTAACTTGGCATAAAATAATTTATTTGCATTTAATTGTAATGGTTCAAAGAATGTTCGGAAAAATGTTCGGCCCTCCACCATGTTCACTTCATCCAATCTGGCCCTCTTTGAAAAAAGTTTGGACACCCCTGCTCTATACCCTTTAAACCCAATAAAATGTTTGAACAAGAAAACCCCATATCCACAATCTCAGAAAATTAGAATATTGTGAAAAGGTGCAATATTCTAGGCTCAAAGTGTTCCACTCTAATCAGCTAATTAAGCCATAACACCTGCAAAGGGATCTTGAGCCTTTAAATGGTCTCTCAGTCTGGTTCAGTAGGAATCACAATCATGGGAAAGACTGGTGACCTCACAGTTGTGCAGAAAACCATCATTGACACCCTCCATAAGGAGGGAAAGCCTCAAAAGGTAATTGCAAAAGAAGTTGGATGTTCCTAAAGTGCTGTATCAAAGCACATTAATAGAAAGTTATGTGGAAGGGAAAAGTGTGGAAAAAACTGCAGCACAAACCGCAGATATTCACAGGATAGAGAATCAAAGGTTTTATATATGTCTAAGGACAGTAAGAATCCCGGGATTTTCCGCTGTTGTAGAAATTGTATAAGATGGACCACCTTACGAACGTTGTCACCCGCCTGCCTCCCAGGGACGAAACCTATTTGGTCCCTGTGGACCAGACTACGCTAATATTTATTGATACGAAGACTAAGGATCTTGCCCAATATTATTCCAATTATTAACAACCCTCTCTTCCCACCAGGTTTAGATCAACCAAGGGCGTTTTCTTGGTGGGTGGCCAATGGTTTTTCGCAGGTGCGACACTTTTTGACTTCTCGGTCCTTCCCCACTTGGAATTCTCTTCAGAGTCACGGGATGTGACAATTGCGGCATTGGCTGACCTCATTGTGGGGCACTTCCGCTTTCCTGTAACAGAAATCTGTCTTTGAACTGCTTTGCCAACAGCGTACGGGCGCTCGGGCCTTACATCGCTTCTTTATGCAGCTTTGAACAGACGCTCGATGTATACTTTTCTATCATATGTCGCTCAGTGGGAACGCGACCTGGGGGCAGTTGTGGATGTGGAGGACTGGAATAGGACCTGGTTGCTCAAAGCTAAATGTTAATTTAATATGACCACACTGGAGCAGCATACAAGGTATTGTTTCGTTGGTATTGGGTTACGGCTTGTTTGGCCCAGGTGAACCCTGATGATCGATGCTTTCGGGGTTGTGGCCATCGTGGTGATGTATTGCATATCTGGTGGTCATGCCCGAGACTGTTTTGTTTCTGGTCTTGTGTGTTTGGCCTTCCTTTTCACCTTGTTCCATCTCTCTATACGCTGGGAGCCGTGGTTGCAATATGCCTTTCCCACGCTCCCCCCGGCTAGTCTGAGGTTGTGAAATTGCTTGGTATTGGCATTCTAGGACCCCTGCTCTTGGTCTTGTTATCTTTTTCCTTTTGTACTCCTCTTTCCTTTTCTTTTTCTGTTTGTTTTTGGCGTGGCAGTGGATAACTGCCTTTACTTTGTGTTACACTAATGTTTTTGTCATTTATGTGCCATTGATTGCCTCTGCTTGGGCGCACCTTTTGCTCTGTTGGTGTTAGAGCACTTTTTTTTTTTATATGTGCAATTGATAGCCCCTGCGTGGGTGTTTTTTTGTTGCTCCTGTCTTAAACGGTTTATAAATTAATAAAAACATTGAAATACAAAAAATCAAATATTGTCTTAAGTTTAGGCCAAAATGTATTCTGCTGCATGTCTTTGCTAAAAAAAAGTCACAATACGTGTAAATTAATTGGTTTATGTGAAAGTTACAGCATCTACAAATGGCAGTATATATACTGGAATTTTTATTTTACTAGTAATGCCGGTGATCAGCGACCTATTGCGAGACTGCAGTGGGCATTCTGACACTGGGTGAGAACTGACTGCCACTGACATCCCAATGACACTGATACAGTGATCAGTGCTAAAAAAAAGCACTGTCACTGTAATAATGACACTGGGCAGGAAGGAGTTAACATCTGGGGTGATCAAAGGGTTAACAAGATGCTGTTTTACTGTGTGTGCTTTACTAGAGAAACATACTGCTGTGTATTTTTCTGTTGTGCCGAGAAATACACAGCAGCATGTTACTGCTCGCAGAAGAGAGACCTGTGTTGTTTACACACAGGTCAGTCCCCCGTCAGTAATACTCGGTTATCGCCGGGTGCTGTCGGGGAATCTCCAGCCGGGACCCAGTGATCGACAGCTGTAGCTGCCAATGGCGGTGCGGGCAGGGAGGGGTTAACATCTGGGGCGATAAAAGGGTTAACAGTGTGCTGTGTGTGTTTTATTATGTTGACAAGCTGCTTAGTATTGCTCTGCTGTGCATAGTAATACAAAGCAGCCTGTTCGTGCTGACAGGGGGAGAGATCTGTGTTGTTTACACCCAGACCTCTCCCCTGTCAGCTCCACCTACAATCACCAAGTCCCGGCCAAGAATCAGCGGCCGGGACCCCGTGATTGACATGCCAAGGAGCCAATAGCAGCACAGGTAGGGAGCAAGCGCGCACACCACCCTACCCAGAAATGCAAATCACGTATATATACATGATTTTGCGCATCCCTGCCAGCCTGTAGCAGTACTTCTGTCAGGAAGCAGTTAAAAAAAACACATTCCAGGCATACCAGGAATGCTGTCACATCTGCTTGTGTTGTCAAACCATCAAATGGCTGGTGTCCTAACTGATCACATGCTGAATTATGACATTTTCATCTCAAACGCAGGCTAAGATGGCATCTTCTTGGCTGAAAATGATAGGTTTTAGTTCCATTTTTATAAAACAATTATTTAAGCAAGCCTAAGCTGTAAGTTGTTGTTAATGAAAAATATATCCAAAAAGAAGAAACCAAAACCGTTGTATTGCTTACCCGAACGGACAAGATTTCCAGCCCATGCAAAATGTTTGAATGTGACATAAGTACTCATCATAGGCTGCAAGCTAGAGAAATCACCACATTCAACCAGGAAAACACCGGAAGCTCACTTCAAGAACGCACGCTGTGCAGCACGTGACTCTTTCCATCAGCCTCTCTGAGTAGGTCCTGTCAGGGACGGTGCATAGGTCTGTAACAGACTGCAAAGCTGTCATTTACAATAACATTTATATTATATATCTAATTATATGAAATAAAAATTACAGCATCGATGTTAGAAAATACAATGCCGTTATAGCATTACACTTAGCGGTGTCTGTGTTTACAGCTGGGACAGGACTCGCAGGTTTCCGGTTGACAATTCCGCTCACGTTTTCTCAGCTGCTGAGCTCCAGCAAGTTTCTGTGCTGGTAACCCGTGGAATCATGGAGCCGAGGATGGCGCAGAAGCTGTGTGCCGGCGATATGAATAGGGAATCTGATACAGAACACAATGTGGACGGTGACTTTAAACTGGAAGAAGTCATGCGGTTAGGAGGTACTAAGGTATGCCTTGACTGCCTCCTCAGTTCTCTAAATCATGTCAATAGTAAAAGCGTGCTCGTTTTGTAGGCTAGGTTTTTATTTTTTGGTAAACAAACTAAAACAAGACTGAAAATTAAAAAAAAAAAAGTGTTTTCTTAGTTTCTGTTATAAAATGTTTTCTCCTTCAGTGATGGGCACTGATAGGTGGCACTGATGAGGAGGCACTGGTAGTTGGCACTTGTGGGCATTAACAGGCACCACTGATGGGCACTGAAAGGCAGCACACAGTGATTGGACCTGTTAGGTGGCACTGATTGGACCTATTAGGTGGCACTGACTGGCACTAATAGGTGGCACTGAACGGCAACTCTGATGCGCACTGATATGTGGCATTGATATGCACTGATGGGTCGTGACAGGAGGCATTGTTGGGCACTGACAGGTGGCACTGATGGGGCTACACTGATTATCAAGGCACTGATGATTAGTGTAGGTGTCCCCTCTGAGGAATGACATTTATCGGCTTTCCCCTTCTCATGTGCTGTCAGCGTGAGGAGAGGACTGCCGATAACCCGCATTTCCTTGTTTACTTGCGATCAGCTGTGATTGGACACAGCTGATCACATGACAGAGCCTGTGTCATTGGCTCTTTATTGTGATTCACTGTGTCCCAGGGACACATCGCACCACCGATTGCCGCGCGCCCCTGGGGATTAGCATGTGCAGTTAGAGTGGGAGGATGTCGTATTATGTCCTCTCAGAACGAGAGAACCACCTCCCTCTCATCATTTCCTTATGTGGCGGTAAAATATAATTCTGTCAAATTTAGGTCAAAATGTATTCTGCTACATGTCTTTGCTAAAGAAAAATCCCGATACATGTAAATTAATGATTGATTTACATGAAAGTTATAGTGACTACAAATGGCGGTGTATATATACTGGAATTAAAAAAAAAAAATTTTTATACCAGTAATGGCAGCAATCAGCGACTTATAGCGGGACCGCGATGGGCATTCTGACTCTGGGGGGAACTGATTAACTGCCGCTAACATCCCAATGACACATAACAGTGATCAGTGCTAATAAAAAGCACTGACACTGTACTAATGACACTGGGCAGGAAAGGGTTAACATCTGGTGCGATCAAAGGGTTAACAGTGTGCTGTATTGTGAATACCGTGCTGTTTTACTAGGGAACATTCTGCTTTCTTGCTCTCTGCAGAGAGATTGAAAGCAACATGTCCCTGCTGACAGGAGAGAGACTTGTGTCGTTTACACAGCTAATCCACCAATCACCCGGTAAATTGACATCTCTGTAAGCAAATGACAGCACGTGTAGGGTAACGCACACACGTGCCCCCTACCCAGAGATGCAAAATCACATATATATGTGATTTTGCACAGCCCGGCTGCCCAGCAGCAGTATATCTGCTATAGGGTGGTCCTTAAATGGTTAAAGAACACCTTAAGTCTAGGACAGATTGTATTTCTTGCTGATAGGTACAACGTGGCTGTCATGAAGATTGATATTTGTGGGGTTCGGGGGGGACGGTGTTGTAAGGTGAAAGTAAGCACCTGGTAATTCCTTTTTAAGATGCCCTCCAGGATTCCAAATGTCCTTTTATTTTTATTTGGCATGCCTGCTATGGATTTGTAAAAAAAATTCCCAAACTTAGGACAATAACAGAGATTCTGTTTAGTCTTTAGCCAGATTGCACAATATAAAACTGTTGTTTTTTTCCTCAAATTTATTTTAATACAGCATAGAAGCTTCATAGCTTTTTCTATGGTTACATTAAGTGTTACTAAACCCAGGACCCTGCATTCACTCTATCTGGTCTGCCATAGTACACACTACATGGAAACACATTTATTTTAGTAATTATAAACTGCTAAATATCTTTTATCATCAGCAGTTAGAACAGTCTTGTGACTTCTATCAATGTTCAGCAGAGTACTGGTTAAAGCTTTTGTAGAAGGAGTTTTCTTTCTGCTCTAGGAGGATGTAGAACCCCTGGCCTCTGTCTGGACAGCGCTGATTGGCCCTGTGCTGATCACATGAACTCTCCTAAGAAAAAAAAACTTTCTAGCCATACACATCAAACTGAACATGTGCAGAGTGTCTCCACATGATATGTCTTATCAGTAGATAATGGGGACACTGGAAGAAGGGGAGAATCAGAGAAGTCAGGATCAAACTGCATTTTTACACAATGCTGAGGATTAACCCCTTAGGTTCCACAGTGAGTATATCAAGCCTGCTTTACTGCTTATACAGACTGATTTTACTGTTGCGGGTTTAGTAACACTTTAATTTCAAATGGTTACAACTACATTTATTTATGTTTTTTTTTTTGTTTAGCAAGATTTTATAATGCTTGCGGGCTTGGAAGATGTGGAAGAAATTGTAGATGGTGGCAAGAAGGGCGGAATTGATGATTTAGAAGAAGGTGAATTAAAGGCATTCATTGAAAAACTGGGCTTTCAGAAAATTGTTAAAGAAATTACGGCACAAGAAGAAGTGGCTGAAGAACAGATGGAAGAAAAAACAAACCATGGTTTGGAAGAGAAGAAGGTAAAGAAAAGCCAGAAAAAAGACACAACTCAAGACTCCAAAGAGACAAAAAAGACAAAAACAGTTGAGAAAAAGGAGCGGTCAATTTTTCCATTAAATAACAAAGGAAAGCATGTGTTTGAATTTTCGGAACGTTCCATGCTGCTTCTGAAACCTGGCGGAAAGTGGTATGATCATGAGTATACTAAAGAATTTACTGCCGAACCTCAGACCGAAGAGAATGTTAGGAAATATAAAACCTTAGCCGAGAAGCTATATGACCATGAAGTGAATCTGTATAAAAATAAAAAGGAACTACAGAAAGGTGCTAACACCACATGGATGAAAACTGTTGTGTCAACAGGCACATTAGCAGACAGAATGGCTGCCATGACAGTTCTTATACAGGATGCTCCTGTTCACACACTGCATTTTGTTGCAAATTTAATAAATTTAGTCAGAAAACAGGGCAGCAAGCGTCAGAACCTCATGGCTCTGGATACGTTTAAGGATTTACTTCTTTCTGATCTTTTGCCTGACAATCGGAAGCTTCATACATTCGCTCAGCATGAATTTGACAAACTTGAAGAAATATCCAGTGGCAATAAGGATGCAAGGGATCGACGGCTGATTCTGTGGTTTTTTGAAGAGCAACTGAAGCAACAATTGTCAGAGTTTGTCAAAGTGCTAGATACCTTGACTCATGACAACTTGATTGCAACTAAAGCAAAGGCACTCAATGTTATCAGTGAGTTGCTCTGTAATAAGCCCGAAGAAGAAAAAACTCTTCTAACACTTCTGGTTAATAAATTGGGAGACCCTCAATACAGGGTAGCTACAAAGGCCTCCTATTTACTTGAGGTGCTACTGAATAAGCATCCAAATATGAAAGTGGTTGTATGTCTTGAAGTAGAAAGACTGTTATATCGACCTAATATAAATGAGAAAGCCCAGTATTATGGCATTTGCTTTTTGAATCAAATCATATTCTCCCATGATGAATCTGATTTGGCAAACCAACTCATCACAGTGTATTTTTCTTTTTTTCCGTGCATGTATCAAGAAGAAAGAGATTGATTCCAAAATATTGAGGGCTTTGTTAACTGGGGTGAATAGAGCCTATCCTTTTGCCGACCTTGTTAATGAGGAGGTAAAAAAGCAGCTTGATACTCTATTCAAAATACTTCATGCTGTGAACTTTAATACAAGTGTGCAAATTCTAATGCTTCTATTTCAAGTAATGGATTCTCAGCAAACTGTGTCGCATAGGTATTATGCAGCTTTGTATAGGTAAGTGAAATATTTTTTTTTGCAATTATATATATATATATATATTTTTTTTTTGTCAAATAGGTCCCCAAATTTAGGTGTAAGTATGCTGCAGCTAAGTATGTTGGAAAAAAAAAATAGTGGTTTTTAGATATACAGATTAGCTAAAAAGACAGAACAGCTAATGCTGCTTGCGTTAAGGCTCTTTTGGCTAGGTGGCCCAATAAGTCCTCAAGAGTCCTTAAAATAAGTCACCTGTTTTGAGTTTAAATTTTGGTTTCAGCTTTAGAGCTCTGTAAACATATGTTTGCTAAGAAAGAAGCAAAGAGAGCGGAAAATGGGAAAGACCCTAAAGCTGCCCCTATTGATGCAAAAAATATGCAAAAATGCTAAATATTAATATGCAATATTTCATTATATTGTACTGTATGTGCAGGCATTCCATATCTCTCATATTTCAGAATTCTTAGTGTCTCGTCACCCTTTTGCTACCACTGACATGTGTTGTTCATTGGTGGCTGCAGGTAGGTTTTACACCCACACAGCTGCTAGGAGTGTGTGTAAATCTGACAAGCAAACTACTGGCTGTCAGATCTGACAGCTGTGCAGCTGCCAGATCACTTGCACACACACTCATTATATTACCACACACCCCTGTTACTAACCTTCAGGTAGTTCTTAAGTGCAGCACATTTACATTGTGTTG